GTTGCCCAGAGAGGTTGTGGAGGCCCCATCCCTGGCAGTGTTCAAGGCCAGGCTGGATGGGGCTTTGGGCAACCTGGGCTAGTAGAGGGTGTCCCTGCCCAATGCAGGGGGATTGGAACTAGATGGTCTTTAACGTCCCTTCCAACCCAAACCATTTTATGATTCTAGGACCAAGAGTTCATAGAATTATGATCTGCCCAGAACACTTACACAGGCTTGTCAAAATACTAAGGCAGAGATTAGCTGACTCTTCATTTTTAGCAGCCACTGCTAACAACATCCTAGGAGATTCTTGCTGATGGGCTTTGAGAGCCTGGCCAAACCCACTGTTTTCAGACCTCAAGGACAGGCAGAAAAGGGTCTAACGAGTGCCCTTGTATTGAAAGCTTTGGTGCCAAGAGCTTCAGACCTCAGTTCTCAGTCATGAAAGAACATGAGTGAAACTGTTCAGAGACCATTCAAATGCCACTTAAACCCAAAGATTTCAAGGGCCCTTCAGATGTTCTCAGAAGCAGCTGGTGTCTCCCTGACTACAAGTTAGGCCCTTCAGGTTCCCCTTCTTCAGAGGACTGATCACAGGCTAGTAGGGAGGCTCCCTCTACAGCAGAAAGACAGAATATCTGCAGTGCTGAACAGCTCCCAGAGCCAGAGACAAAGCTTGTGTTATCCAAATGTCTGAAAGAACAGTTTGGTATCTGGCCTTTTACTTGCCTGCAGGGGCTTTCAAGGCCTTAGTGAAGCTCTGCAGGAGCTTAAAGACAAGAGTCTAGTTTAAATGATTTTATATAAGCAGCATCACACAGAGCACATGAATGGTACATGCGCACACACACACGCACTCACCTCACCAATGCAAGAGGGACTCAAATTCATGTTACTTTTTTTTTTTTTTAAACCCATGAACCCAAAGAACCAAACCAAGAATAACTAAAATCAATCCGAAATTGATATGAAACACACAGCTACATGGAAGAGCAGAGATTTAGACCCTGCAGCAGCACCAGTAGGAAAGGAGGAACTGGAGAACCTCTGTGGCCATCATCCTATTTGCTGTGAGGTGAAAGAGAACAAAGCAGGGTGTACAAAGAGCCCTACTGCTCTCTAATTCACACATACAGGGCACATATGTACAGGGGAAAGAAATGGGAGGGGGAAAACTGCCACACAGTACAGAAATGAGACTCCCTTAGCTTCTGGTAACAGCATCTTAACAGTGAAATGATTTTACCTGAGCAAGTCCCACATGCTGTGCATGGCTGGCTGGCTGAGAAGGGGCTGCAGCACCTCAGATGTCAAACGTTCCAGTTCCTCTAAGCAGTCGATTGGATTGACTGATGGCTACAGAAGACATGGAGAGACAGGAAAAGATGGTGAATGAAGGCATCTCAGTGAGGGCAAAAAGACAGGTTGATTTAATTGCTTTCTCTGTGTTTATTATCTTTTTGCCAGACCACATCATCTACATAGTCGTACTGCTCTAAGTTAGACCTGGCCTCACCGCTAGTAGTGTGGAAGCTGAGAGCTGCCACCTCAAGGTGTTCTCACACTTAAGTATTAAAATGCATCACAGAGATTTCTTAATTGGCTGGAAGTAAGGTATGGGATCCTTGGGATCAAGATTCCCTATATGAAAACTTGCCCTAAGTGGCTAAACTCCCCTCCCCATACCATCTACATGCTGATCTTTCTATTTAACTTGAAGATGACACTAAGGTGATCAGAACTACCTTGAGAAAGGTCTCCAAAAAAAATAAAAATCAACTGTATAAAGTGCAATTGACCTACCCATCAAAGCATGACAGTGGATGAACACTGCACAGAGGAGGACCTGTGGCTTTTAGAGAACCATCCAAATTCTTCCGACCCTAGTAAGCAATATTCCAGGTTGAAGGAACATGCTGGAAAATGTTAATGTTCTTTCCCTTCATTAGAATGCTGCTTTGGGATACAGAAACACTTGGTTCTATAACACAAAAATCTAATTTTCCCCCAGGTGAAATCCCCAGAAATCAGTGAAATCTACACAAAGATGTTAACCTTAATTCTTAGTTGTCTAACAAAAATATTCCAAGAAGGTCCCAGTATACACTAATCTAGTTATTATACAAGTTGATTTTCTTCCACTATTTTATTTTTTTAATCAGTTTAGCTAACCACAGGTAGATGATTGAACGTCTTTTTAAGTGGACATTAAAAAAATCTTACGTCATAGTTCAAGGACTCAAATTATTTTGTCAGCCACTCTTCTGGGATATCTATAAAGGTTGAAAAGGAGTATTACACTCTTGGTTACCCTGGTCCTCTAATGCTCAGGACCTAATGACAGTATGTGAAGGGTGCTACCAACCTTTGGGACACCAAAGACATCTCTGAAAGATACTAATGGTTTCCACCCCAGCCACAAGTAACAAACTCAGTTGCTTTGGGCAAGTTTCAGAGGAGTTTCAGAAGTGTGAATAACTATAGCCATTAAATTAACCCCACACCCTGAAGATAGCTCTCCCAGGTCAGAACTCAGGCATGTCAGTTGGGCGGTAAAGAAGAAACTTGCACTTATCTTCAGAAGATGAATCTTTAATGTAGCTAAAGTATAAGACATTATTCTTCGACAGCATGGCATTGATGTGTCACCTTCAGAAAACTCACTTTAAAAGATGGTCACATACTACAACTGTAACTGGGTTACAGAATTTCACCTTGAATGTCAGTGGGGCAGCAAATAAATTTATCTTTATTGTTTCCCATCCAAAGTTCATATGGCATGACCCTCAACGCTCAGTCTTCCAACCAGATTACTGCAGTGTAGCTGTCCACATGTAAGCTCTCAGACCACAGCAAATGCAAAAATGTGCAATCTGATTTAGCCCACAAGGAGAAAGTACTCCCAAACTAAATTAGGTCATATTTGCTTCATGCTTTGGATCTCAGCAGTAAATCAGACCAGTCACAGCACTACCACATACCTTGATAGAGAATCTGAGCCCAAAGGAAGAAAGGAAGACAGTGATAATTGGCAGTGCTAATGTGAAGGATCCGCAGACCTACAGGATCCTAAATGCCATGCAGTGTAGGTATGAGCTGTGGTAAACAAAATCTAGTCCTCAGTTAGATGCTTCAACATCTGTCTTTTTCAGCATTGCCTGTAAGTTCAGGTTTTCAGAGGTAACACACAAGCCAATGCTGGTGAGATAAAAAGACACCCTGTATTTTCAGGCCTTACCTGTTGGCTGCAGGCACTGTAATAAACTCCCAGGTAGATCACATAAGTTGTGGTCAGAGGCTGGAGAGTTTGCCAAGTTTCTGTCTGGGATATCTCCTGGAGGAATTGTTTCAGACTGGTCTCAAGAAAGGGCTGTAAGCCTGACACTTGATTCCATGCTACCGGAGGAGGTGGAATCTGTTCACCATCTTCTGAACTATTACTGAAACACAATGGAAGAATGACACAGGGTAGTGAATATGTCTCAGAAACAACTGTCTCTCTAAATCATCATTTTTAACAGCAAGATTTCCAATTGCATGTAGTCTGGAAGGCGATATCTGACAACAGCCCCGAGGGAAAAAAAGCCTTTGCACACTCCCACAGACCAGACTAAAATAAATTTAGGCAGAAAGGGTGAACACAGAAGGTACTAATGAAAGCTGAAGTTTCTTCACTTGCACTACTCTGTCCTTGAGCTATGCTCTAGTTTTTTGGACACACTACCTCAGTATTCAGCTTTAGTTAAAGAAGTTTCTGCTTTTCACCAGAAAAAGTACCCGTGTCTTCAGCAAATCCTACTGCTTTGATGTCTATCAAAAACAACCACCTCTTAATCATGACCTATCTTGGTCTCTGCAGAGAGGTTCTTTCCTCTAAACCTCAGAGAGGTTACTTTATTTTCCCAAAAGGGAAGATCAAAGGAACTTCCTAGCTCCTTTCAGCAGGGTATTTGGCTAATGCTGCCCTTCTGCCCCATAGCTGAATGCAGATTTTTATCCCTGCCTGTTACCAGGCTAGCAGGTACACAGCTGTCAGACTATGTGTCAGAGAGAATGCACCCCCCCGCGCAGGGATTCACGTGTGGGACAGTAAACCATCCAAAATGAAGGAAAAAAAGAAGGTGATAGCCAGGCCTCCAAACCAAAGAGAGGGAAGACAGGATGCCAACTATTCAGATACACAGAACTGTTGAGAGAGAGGGCCTACCTGCTCATCTTGGCCTGCAGCTCTGCCGCGTAGCCTGCTGTTTGCGTCACATGTATCAGCAGAGTAACTACTGCTGTAGCTCGCTGGACAGACAACTCAATCATAGGGCTCTTCCCACGGCAAGTGCTGAGCAATTCAGGCAGGGACTGCAGTATTCTCACCAGCACGGGGTAGAGATCCCTATAGTATGAATCAAAGAATAGATGAGATTGGAAGGGGTCTGTGGAGATCATCTATAGTTCAAATCCCTGGTCCACTCAGGTCAGCTAGAGCAAGTTTGCCCAGGAACATGTCCAGTTGGATTTAGCTGGATTTTTAATATCTTCAAGGATGGAGAGTCTACAATCTTCCTGTGCAACATGCTCCAGTGTTTGATCACCTCCACGGTAAAATTTTTTTTCTTACACTTAAGTGAAGTTTCCTGTATTTCCATTTGTGCCCAATGCTTCTTGTACTTTCACTTAGTACCACTGGGAGAACCTGGCTCTATCTTCTTTACACCTTCCCATCACTTATTTATAAAGATTGCTACAATGATATTATGAGAACCATCACCACCACCAAAATAACAAAAAACAAACAAACAAGGAAAAAAGATGACAAAGGAAGAATACACTCATTTCAAATTCATCTGAATGGGACCTACCTCATACTCTGTCTCTGAGCATTCTGATAATCTCTTGGAAAGCTAATTTTCTTTTACTCTTCTTTCCCTACTTCTCAAATTCTCAGCCAAAGCATCCACAGTTATAATCATGCAATTTTAAGGAATCTTCTGCTGTTTCTCTTTCCTCAACATTATTTAGAGTGCTAAAAAATTATATACAGTTTTTATTCTTTATTAACCAATATGTCTGATAGGGCTGGAGAACACAAAATGCTGTTGTGGAGAGAGAATCTTCATTCTGAAACTTAATACTGGCCTTCTCTTTTACTCCTCTTTTCAGAGCAACTCCATAGCCATCTCTCTGCTTCCAAGTCAGTGTAATAACAGGAAGAATGCTTGAGGTACGTCAGACTTATCCCAGTACAGACCTTGATGGTCAAGCACTAGAACTTGTACTGAACTGAAAGTTGATGCAGCATGCAGAGTTTGTCTGCATCAGTCTGCCTCACTTAGCATGGATGCTGGTGACTGCTGCCCACAGACTGCCTTTTGGTCATCAGATTCAATCCTAGGTGTGCTGCAAACTACACATCTTGATGTCACACAAGCACAGATTATTCATGCCTTCAAGGGGAAAAAGATGCAGCCCTAAAAAGTTAGAGTGATCTCCCACAGTACAGAGGAGAACCGACAAAATACCAGTGCTTAAACACAGGCGATAAAGAACAACCAGAGAAAATATAATATTCAACACAAATACCTTTAGAAACTGTTTTACTGCAGGAGGCCAGAGAAAGGGAGATAAGACTCCCTGAAGGGACCAGAGACTCAGCCTGGAGATGCCTACATTTACCCCTCTGGAACAGGATGTCCATTTTCTCTGTTGTGCCCTCCACCACCATTTCTCCAGCTTTGGACTGTACCTGTAGAGATCACAGGCCTGACCATAGCCAGCTGCCACAGCCCACAACCGGAAGGCTTCGGTGCTTAGCCTGATGGCTTCTTCCCTTGGCAGAAGCAGATCCAGCGGGTCTTCAGCTATAAATCGACTTAACCGACTTTTCATTTCAAATTTGTTAAGCTGTAAAACAAACAAACAAGAACAAACAACAAAAAAGCCAAAGGGATAAGAGACAACAGTTGCATACATCATTACCTCATTACTCTGATATACCAAAAGAGCTGCAGATTTCAGTTCAGCTCATTCTAAACTCCTCTTGCATTGTTCAAATCTGTCTTTATCTTGTGTAATCTTAAGGAGCGTATTAAAAAGGATCAATAAATGGTCGATGGCTATTAAGAGAGAATTATTCCTGAAGGGATGCCTAGATGTTACCTAATCCATTCCTAACACAAATTAATTACACCTAAATAATTCCTGACGGAGGTTCATCATCCACACACACTCTTGTTTTGGATGCTCTCTGCAGCATTTAACTGATTTTTAAAGAAGGATAATTATATATATTTTTAAGTAGTCATAAATAGAATTCTATTAGTCAAGATTACGTGTAAAGATATATCTTACGTAAAACACTGTGTACAAAAGTACTGAATTGATGCCAACATTCTTTTTGGAAGGTCACACTAAATGGCTTTCAGAGGTTCTACAACCTAAATCTTTCTATGACTGTGTTTATTTCACAAAAAGGTTACCTCCTGCCTATTACTTTTATAAGATTATAGAATTTTGATGCCTTGGAAATGTTCTGAGGTTATTTTAGTATTGAATTAAGCATGACATGACTCATTTGCAGCTCTCTAGAAATAATTTTTATCCTCCCCAACAACTGGGTATTTTTGCTTAACCAGAAAAAAGAGAAGCTCTTTCCTTCTCCCACACATACAAAAGCTTGTGTGTGCTCTGTCTAAACAAATGAGATAACAATGTCTTTTTCACAACTCAAGGACATATTATAGATAATTTAAAATTCAAATGCTTTGGAGACATCTTGTAGG